GGGAGGTCAGTATCATCACCTCTATTTTACAGACAAAAACAGGCATAGCTGAAGTGATTTGCCCAAGGTCATATAGACAGCCAAAGGCAGGAACAGGACCTGAATCCAGGAGACCTCACTGTTATTATAGGAGTAGGATCTGGAGGCCCAGATCAAGACCATGGCCCCAGTGTACTAGATCTGCCATGGGCAACCTAGGTTAGTAAGTAGGCCTGTATGAGTGGCCCTCTTTCATCTCAGTGGACCACAAGATTGTCATAACGAAGATGGTGTCCCAGGGTAGTTTTGCTAATTTCACGTATATACCTAGAATTTGCAGGGTGTGCCAAGTGAACTTTGAGTGGATGCAGAGGGAGTGCACGGCTCTCACAGTGTGTGCAATTAGCATGCACCTCACTTCACATGTCCTTGCTTTACGTGCACGTCACTTTAGATGGAAAAAAAGCCTACACAGACAGAAACCAGAGGCCTCTGGCAATCCTGCACATGAGCAACGGTAAATAGAATGTCTCACGGGCCACACATAGACTGCATTGGGCTGCATGTGGCCTGTGGGTTATAGGGGTTGCCCACCACAGTACTAGATGGTTTACTTGCTGAGAGGCAGACATAATCCTTGCCCTGAAGCACTTTTGGCCTAAGGATTATGCACCAGGCCATATTCTTACACCTTTCATCAACAAATGAAAATCGTCTCATCGGTTTTGCTTTTTTGACTTTGAGCTGTTCCACAAGAGAAACTTCCCTATAGCAGCCATGTCTTACTATGCTATGGGCATATCTTGCACCTGTGGTAATACTCATTTCATCCCTGTTTGCTGCAGACTAAGCCTCTGTGTGTCCTGCTACCAGCAAAGGGTAAAGAAGGTGGGGGGTTAAGAATAAGCTTAACAGGATAGCCTTGAAAATAAACTGTAAATCTACCAACAACCTGAAGTGTTGAAAATTCAGTATATTTAGGGTCAAAACTTGGCCCCTTTGAAATTAGTAGGAATTTTGCTAATGACTTGAATAGGAGCAGGATTTGGCTTTAATTAAAATTAACCAACATGCTGGAACATATGCATTCCCCAGATAGATAGAGACGTTACCATATTTTAGCCTTATATACCTGACTGTTCACCTTTGGGGCCTATCCCATTCAGGGTCCAGTTGGAGATGCTGCCTGTTAGAGTTTCTACATGCTTTCCCAATGTGGGGCCATCACAAAACTGCCTTCAAACCAGCCTTCCTGCTGCTCCTGGATGGTAAACCGCTTAAAAATACAACACAGCTGTCGTTCAGTCATGAATGTCGATGTGCTAGTTCAACATTACACATATATTCATTTCACAGTAAATTATTAAAGGGTTCCTGCAACAATGAATGGCAAGGCATGCCACAAGCCCATTAGAGAAATTGGTCTTCCTGAGTAACATCGCTGATCATGCCATCTGATGGGCTAGCCCACTGTTTCCAATGTTGACAAAGAAATTAAGAAGAGATAATAAATGATCTATCCCAGGGTCCCATACTCTACATCAGTAAATGTACCCACCTCCATTCAGCCAGCCCTACCCCCCCAACTCCCACTAGAGCAAACCTTTAGTGCAAAGCCCGTTTGCTTTCTTCGACTGTTTGCCTTCAGGGAAAGATTTGGTGTCATCTTCATTTTGCAAAAAGATAAAGGATTGTATATTATTACCTGCGGCTAATGTGCCATGAGATGTAAACAAAAGGTGCATGTTTTAAATAAACAAAATTGACTAGCAAGACTTATTTAGTGGGTCTGGGAAAATACTCAGCATTAGTTACAAAGCTAGTTCAAACAATAATTAAACTCTTGGCAGAATTAAGTTGGAGTCTCCTCCCTGTTGGGGTTCAGATTCAGCCCGGGCCCTAGGCAAAGGAGGGCCATAGGTTATGGGTGTAGCAGCCAAGCATAAGCAGCCTTTGGTGAGATTTGAGCAGCCAGCCAGAATCCCTCCATAGCACACCCATAGATACACCCGACTAACATGCTGGAGCATATGCCACAATCTGAGGGAGGGGCATAAACAGTGGGCATAGCTAGCTCCCAAGCCAGCACATGTGTATGCTGCCCTTAGCATGACCCAGGGACCAACCTGACTCCCATTTAAGCCAAAAGGCATTTTGCTATTGACATCTAAGGGCAGTATGATCACTCCCAAAGTGAGCAACTAGCACTTACTGAAAAGAGCAGCTGTGTGCCATATATGCTACAGACATTGCCCAGACACTACAAGCTACAGTGGCTCTCAACCCTTCTGCAAATCACTTTCATTTTTAACATCAGGGATCCATGGAGCATTAGCTTAGACATCACAGGAAATCCCTGCAACAGAACTCTTGGGGACATGCCAACATGAGAATGTTTCACTCATGGGGCAGGCTGTCAGGACAGTGGGATGGTTATTCTGTTACGGTGCTCCAAACACTGGGCTACGGCTCGTTCTAATCAGAAACATAAATTGCTGTAGTCCAATGAGAAGTTAAGGTCCCCTCCAAGGAGTTGTTACAAAAAATGGAATACCCCAATTTTATTTTTGCTTCTTGAGAATAGGGAAAGGTCCAAGGAGTTAGTCTTTTAAGTGCTATGTAGTCCTGTTTTTTGTTTCAGATACACCAGACTAACACAGCTACATTTCTATCACTTTTTTGTTTTAGGTTTTTTTCCCTTCTTATTTATCTTAGAAATATCACAAGTGGCAAGTCTGGCCTGCCCCGGTTTTGCTGGAGGATTTCTGGTGTGGCTCAGAGAGAGGCTTGTTGTGATATACCACGCATTAACTGAAGGAGGTGGCGTTGACCCTTTAACAAGGACATTCTTCTCTCACATGGCTGTTAAGGTCTAGAGCAGGGGTGTCCAAACTTTTTTCAAAGAGGGCCAGATTTGAAGAAGTGAACATGCGTGAGGGCCGACCATTTTGCCTGACATTCTTTGAACCATTAAAATTAAATGCAAATTAACTATTTTATGCAAAGTTTATTGCAAACGGCATACTTTTCATTTCGTCACATGGATGACAAATCTAAACAGGTGTTAAATCACTCTGCCTTTCATATCTGAAGGCCAGATGAAAAAAAAATCCAGGAAGCTGAAATATATGTCAGGAACATTGTAAAGTACATTACATATTATTGGTAATAAAGGTTGTCTGTCAACTTTTAAGTTCAAAAAATATGAACAGGAACATAACACCAACTATACATGTTGTGTCCAAATATATTTATAACTGATTTAGACCAACTGACATTAACTGAGATTTTGCAATGTATTCATCTCAATTGAAAAAAAAACTTGCCTAAACTAATGTGAAGGGTGAAACTGAGATCTGGACTGCAGCACAGGAGAGCGCAGGGCACGCTGGCCTCACGGCGGCACGGGGGCAGGGCGAACCCGCAGCCAAGCGGGGGAGCGGGGCTGCGGATGTGCCCTACACGGTAGGCTTTAGGACCACAGCGGCCGCCATGGACGGCGGCGGCGCGGCCGGAAGCGGCGCGCTGCGCGCGCCAGTTCAGAGGAGCGCCGGGGAGCCAGGAGGGGGGAGGAAGCGGGGGCTGTCCCCGCACTCTCAGCCCCAAAGCGGAGGGCCCGCAGGGTCAGAGAGCGCAGGGCACGCTGGCCTCACGGAGGCCCGGGGGCAGGGCGAACCCGCAGCCAAGCAGGGGAGCGGGGCTGCGGACGTGCCCTACAGGGCAGGGTCTAGGACCGTGGCGGCGGCAGCGGCAGTGCGGCCCGAAGCGGCACGCTGCACTGCGCGCGCCAGTTAAAAAGAGCACCGGGGAGCCGGGAGAAGCGGGGGCCATATTAAATCCGACCGCGGGCCGCAATTGGCCCGCGGGCCGGACTTTGGACATGCCTGGTCTAGAGAAAAACCTATGTGACATGACTTGTGGAAAGAAATCTTCAGGATCCCCTCGCAGTCTGCCCCGCATTATCCCACTGAGGTAGAGTTTGCCTCCTGTGGAAAAGACCACAGGGCCTGCTCCCAGACTTGATTAATTCCCCCAGGGATCTGCAGAGGCCTAGAGCCATCTTCCTGTAAGCCTAGTGCTTTGAAAATGGTTTTTGCTCATTTCCCCAGGGGGTCCCCACTCCAGCAATTGCCTGGACATGTAGCTCCACTAGATTCCCTACTGGTTACAGCTACTGCTGGGATCCCAGAGGAAGCAGGATAAAAACCAGATTCCTGACTTAATTATTGCTGTACACTAGAGAGACCTCTATCCATCCTTTGCCCAGACAGTG